GAAATTTTGTCGTATTGTACCTAATATTGCACTCGATAACATTTTTCCATTCAAACGCTCAATTTTCTTCTAAGGCCCGTATGCACGTACATCCCCGCGGGGAGGGGATGTGCGCTTAACCATTGAAATGATCCCCGCTGGGGATCCCTTCCCCTCCCCGCGCGAACCCCCGTATGCACAAAGACAATATCGGACAAGGGATCCCCTGTGGGGAGGGGAAGTGAACCCCCTTATGCACAAGAGGGGATCAAGCGGGGAAACCACCTTGCTTTCAAATTTTCTATAAAAAAATCTTTCTTATTTCATATTTTGACTGCAACTTATCTTCGTCTCATCACTTTCAATAATTTAGGGTTGCGGAATGCGCGTATGCAGTGACTGCGCTCGGGGCACTAAAAATGATTTTTTCTACTCCCATTATGTTCCTGCTTTCTTGGATGCTGCCCACTTTCGCTCATGCTGCCCCATTTCAGCGTAAAAATGTTGAACTATAGAAGTTGATGTGTCTCTGCAAGGGAATGGGTAGAAGACATTATGCTGCCGAAAAGGGGGGGGGTGCCGCGCGGACGCTCAAAGCAGTATTCTAACACATAACAGAAGCGGCAAATTGTGCCAGTTCTCCATAAACGCTGTAGCTATCAGCAGCATATCGTCCTTCATCCCAGGGGAATGATCCCCAGCGGCCATCCCTGCTATGCACAAGGGGAACGCTGGGGAGAGGATCACTCCCCAGGGGATTTCTACTCAGAAATAGGCAAATGTGCTACTTTCTAGATTTTTTCGAGGCAGCTTATGTTAAAATAACAAGATAATGGCAACATGTCATGAAATATGAAAGTTACAAAGTGTTTACTCAGCCTATATAGTTAAAACTATTATGTTTTATGAAAAATGCGCAAATTTTCTGAATGATCAAGAACTCCTACAAATAATCGAAACTGGCTGCTATTATTGCTCGGATTCCTTCTCAAGAGGCGAATATAGAAAAGAAAGACAAATTGCAAGCCACAGGTCGCTGAGAGAAGAACCCGGCTTTCAAAGAAAACCCTCCGTCAAAATGAACGAAATGCTTGGTAATGACTGAGCAGAACCAGAATATCCGCGTCTCTGGCATGATCTACACCATCGAACCCCTACTTCGTTGCAGAGGATGTCGATCCCCTCCCCCGCGTTATTGAGTTGAATTCGCGCATACGGGGTTCGAGTGGGGGAAGGGAAGGGATCCCCTCCCCCATTCGAACCCCGTATGCACTGGGGTTCGCTCGATCAATACCTCTGAAACCATTCACATCATCCCCGCTTAGGTGCAGGGGAGGGGATCGCTCCCCTCCCCTCTGTCATGGCGGGGTTCGGCGGAGGGGATCGTTCCCCTGGGGATCCAGCTCCCCTCCCCTCCCCAGCGGGGATGTACGTGCATACGGGCCTAAGTTGGGTGAGCATCAGAGGTGCGATAGGGGGAGCCGGGTCCCCCAAAAGTGAAGGTGGTTTCAGCTACCACTGGCCGGCCAAAAGTGAAGGTGGTAGTGTCGGACACTCACCTCCCAAAAACGTCGACGGGGGGGGGGGGGGGGGGGGAGGTGCGGGGGGAGGATAGAACGGACGAACGGAGCTATCTTTCTAGGTCTAACGTCGACCCAACGGCCCTCTTTAGGGCCACAGATACGATGAATATTAAAAATATCTATAAATTTTATTTATAAAAATTTAAAATAGACGTGTTTAGTAAATGGTGTATTTGGAAGTAGAAGTTTGTTGGACTGTACGGATTTTATTAAGCAAATTTTGTTATAACGTACAGCGAAGAAAGTAGATCGATCCAGGCAGTAACGGCCGAGAATCAGAATTTCGAATAAATAAATAGTGAAAAATCATGCAAAATTTCCACTGTTATAAATCTGTTGTTTGAAGATGTCAGCAGTTGCGACTTCATAGGTTTTAAAGAGTAAATGTTGCTCTATCAGCTAGTGAAGGAATCTGGTCGATTTAAGAGATAGTCGTTGAAAACCAGAGTTCTAAAACTTTACGCCATTTTTGCGTGTTTTTTGACTGTTGAGAGTTAAACTCTTATAAATCTTGAATGTGGAAGTGTATGATGTTGCGACTTCATAGGTTTTATAGAGTAAGGTTTGCCTTATCAGAATATGTCTTGTCCGTTCCGATCCATTGAAACACCTCCGAGATCCAGAGTCATGAAAAAGCAGGTAAAAAAGAGCTTTTTGAACCTAAACAGCTCATAACTTCTTCAGGATTGCAGGAATCATGTTGCGACTTCATAGGTTAGATTCTTCTCGTCAAGAGCTTTCAGATGATATATAATATGTGGGGGTTTCGCGCCTCTTACGGCATATGCCCGGGGGGGGGAAGACTTTTTAGGCCAAAGTCTCCCCCGGCAGCCTCCAGCCAATACATTAAAATGGGCGAGGGGGAGACTTTGGCCTAAAAAGTCTCCCCCCCGGTCATAATTCGCAGGAGGCTCTAAACCCCCACATATTATATATCATCTGAAAGCCCTTGATGAGAGGAATCTAACCTATGAAGTCGCAACAAGGTTCATGCAGTTCTGAAGTAGTTATGAGCTGTTGAAGTTCAAAAAGCTCTTTTTTACCTTTTTTCCTGACTCTGGATCTCGGAGGTGTTTCAATGGATCGGAACGGACAAGACATATTCTGATAAGGCAAACCTTACTCTATAAAACCTATGAAGTCGCAACATCATACACTTCCACATTCAAGATTTATAAGAGTTTAACTCTCAACAGTCAAAAAACACGCAAAAATGGCGTAAAGTTTTAGAACTCTGGTTTTCAACGACTATCTCTTAAATCGACCCGATTCCTTCACTAGCTGATAGAGCAACATCTACTCTTCAAAACCTATGAAGTCGCAACTGCTGACATCTTCAAACAACAGATTTATAACAGTGGAAATTTCGCATGATTTTTCACTATTTAAATATTCAAAATTCTGGTTCTCCGCCGTTACTGCCTGGATCGACCTACTTCCTTCGCTATACGTTATAACATAATTTGCTTAATAAAATCCGTACAGTTTTGCTAAGCTTTACTTCCAAATACACCATTTACTAAAAACCTTTATTTTAAATATATATGCCGCCGTATACATAAATATATGCTTTCAATAATCTTTTTTGCGTTTGTTTTGCTTATTTTCCTTCTTTGTCGTCCAGCGAAAAATTTTTTATTCCAAAAGTGAAGGTGGTCACCCCGTACCAGCTCAAAAGTGAAGGTAGGGGGAGACTTGGCTCCCCCTATCGCACCTCTGGTGAGCATATGCCAATCTACTAATGCCATTCTGAAAGTGGCGAAACATTCAATTCACATAATTCCTCTATATCTTTACACAAGTTCTGTCCAACGCTTAAAGTAACTATATAGCGAAGTTTTGGTTTTTAATGCGTGATGATAACAACGACGGCGGTTCCCTTAAGCAAGAAAGCGCGCTCCAATTGAACAACCCTGCAGTTGGCGCGACCTAGTGAAAAATCGTAAAAATCGAAAGCGCCAACGGCAAATTCTTTTCAAAGGTGTCCATTCCATTTGCCACTCTCTTGCCGGACCCTATTTCTGTTATCCCTTGAAATAAAGGTTTGGGTAGATATCTCAATCGCATATATTTGATGCAGATTTTCGTCATAATTGAATTCAGCACGTTTGATCTAGAAATACTTTGCATGAATTCTTTTTTATCAACCCTAATTTTCTTTCAACTCTTTGAATTCAAGAAGTAGTATACTTTCATGACAGAAACTTCGAAGCGGACGGATTCTTTTCAACTTTTCTAGAGATTTTTGTGCAATTTCTTCTTCCACAAAATTTTGTCTACGCTAAACACATCACCCAAAGCGCGATCTAATAGTTTGGCAGTGAAAATCAAATACATTTGTTGTCACTTTTGCAAAATGAGAAATTCCTCGTTTATTGACTCCAAAGCAAAAGCGCATTTGTTCTGTTCACTGCGAGTTTTACTCGAATTTTGAATGCTACACGCTACTATAGGACAATTCGCGTTTTAAAGATCCACAAATGACTGACAAATTTCGAAATTTGGAGAAGTTACATATTAAAGATTTATGTGAAAGAAGTTCTGTACCATTGCACACTTTCCTTTATTTATATTTCTGGCGCCTTGCTGCTCAGCCCAAATATGAAGCGTGTTCTTATTATGGAAAGTAACACAAGCCACCCCTTCGATTTAAAGCCAAAATTTAGAGAACCCTATTAGTGAATTTGTTGCCAAGCAATTGGATTTTGATGCCTGCGCATATTTGAGCGGAAAACAAAAACCAACTTTATGATGATGTGACATTATTATCAGTTTCGAGCTCTTTCGAGCTCGAAACTGATAATAATTTCATGACGGTACCATAAGCATAAAATACACATTTCCAACACTTTACTACGATTGTATGAAGGAGTTTTCACTTACTGTAAAAGAGTATTCTCGTGAAGACAGCTTCATCTGGAGCCAGGCGATCCATTTCCAATCAAACGGCTTTCTGTAAAATTCGAGTATTGAAAATCTTGTTTTTTTATAAGGTCTTCAAAAAAAGATTTTGGCTGGGAACTTAATCATTGTCATATTTCAACCTACCAAATAATCTGAATCCAACAATACGCAGACTCCAAGAAGTCCTTCATTTTTTGAAAGTAGCTAGTGTTTGATTGTTTTTGTCGTTTTGTATAGCTGAACATTCAGGATGTTAGCCAATGTCGAAAAGTTTCTTACTTTAGCGAAGATATTAATGATTTCCAATGATCAAACTACAGAAAGTTTCGAGTAGGACGATGGAATTGGGAGATTTTAGCTAATTACGTTCCTATGCAGTCAGTAACCAAGCGCATTTCATGATACTAAAAATCAATAAGGAATTCTTCTATTTGGAAATAACCCTTGAAGCCACACTCATATAATGATGATTTAACATTTCTTTTTACGTTCTCATCTTCACAGTACTGAGCTCACCACCGAACTCCGTCAGACATGAACTGGCATGAAACTCGTATCGTTGATAATGATAAGTCCACGTCTGAGAGTATAAAAGGTGATCAAGCAGTAGGTTTAGCACTTGTATCCATCATTTCTTCAAGCGACGGTCTACACTATACAATTTTGGAATTCCTCACAAACGCTCGAAGTCAGGACTTATTAGCAAGGAAGAAACGTGCTGATATCTTTAACGGCATGCGTGAGTCTTTCACATAGTACTGTACCAAAACCGGTTCAGGGGCATACAGTGATCCTCCTGGAGCAGGGGGATGATACAGTAACTGCCTTTCCAAAACAACGAGATGGAAATGGTCAAACACCTTCTGCACAGAGCGACATTCACTTTGGGCGGCCATCGCAGGACCAAATTGCTCGCTCACACATCTGAAGTGAGCAAAAACTTGGTCGGTCAGCACTGGCTATGCCCGGAATGAAATTTACGAGCCGAACGCGACTCTGAACGAGTTTTCGTAAGAGCTCGGCGTTCGTGATATGGTAAAAACGAGCAACAGGGCCTAAGTCCGTCTGTGGACACTCAAAGCATCAGGCTGCACAAAGCGAACTTTGCCTAAGCACTTGGAGGGGAGAAGCTTTGTCGCATGTGCGACGTGCTGAAATAAGCCACATACATCGCTCCGCGACTTTCACAACAAGACAACTGTTACGAGTTCACTGCAAGCTGTTCCTTGCAATGGTTGTGATAGTTAGCCGCGATCAGTCGTGTCGGAGAACTATTACAACCGAAATGCAAGATGAGCCGCATACAATGAACTCGCAGCAGTTGTCTTGTACGATAAGTCGCGAGGCGATGAATTCGCGTGATGTATTTCCGCCCTTAAAGTGGCTATGGAATGTCACTTCAAAAAGTCACGGACACTCACTGTAGCCCCGGATCTAACAATAAGTTGTGCAGTAGCGGAACATTAAGCGGCACGCGGTGGGTTTGGACTCGTTCCGACGCTAGGAACAGACAGCACTCCTTCAACTTTACGGCGAAAGCGACGCGCTTCTCGCGGACAAAAGGCGTCCGCCGCGGAAAGCGCAATGCGAATCAAGGCACAGCTCTGAGTGTTCGCACAGTCGGGAGTTCTATAGGCTGTCCCAACCAGCGTCGTTTATGCAATGTCGCGCGCGGCAACTTGCGATGGAGCGATGTGACGCGTGTGAACCGTGCTATGCGTTAAGGCATGTCGCATGCGTCGTCGCAGGTCAAACTGGTCACGATTTGCGCGAATACTCCACGAAGCGATGCCGCCACGCGACTCAAGCAGTGAGAGTTCCGTGAGTATCGGTACTACTGTCACAATGTTACTTATGGCATTAATTCGTGTATCTGCCGCCATTTCTCACCCCCCAAGACTAACGGACTTTAGCACCGGAGAGTTTTTGAGTGGCACAAAATCCGAGTGCGGCGCGCGCGGCGTGACTCCTAACTTAGAGCCACGTTTCTCGCGACGAGGCCACAGACGGTGCGCAGATTCCAACTGAGAATTTGAAGTAAAGGAGTGCTGTCATTATGCTTTGCTGAGGATTAGACGATGCCGCGATTGCGCGCCGCCTCCGCGCTTCTGTCTTTTCATTAGAGATTACGTGCGAAACTTCCAATTGCCAACGCGTGATTATTTCGCTGCGAGAGTTCGCTCTTTGAACACTGGTGTTGCAAACAGCGCGCCTTGGGTGGGAGAAGAAGGCCGCCAATTCGAGCCGCCTTTTGCGGCCAACTGGTCTTTTTGCAGTGTTGTTGCATGTCGCTGCAGGAAGCAGTTTGCGAAGGCGGCCCAAACTGGCGGCTTTCGTTCCACCCCCGCGCCTTCACCTTGCAAACGCTCATAACTCACGCCGTCCACACTGTGAAGGTACATGGCTTGTGTGTGGAAGGGCGTTGAAGGCGTCGTCCGCCGCTCTTTCAAAGCATTGCACGCTTCAGATAGCAATCTGATGAAAAATTCGTAATCCTACGCTAAAATAGAACACTATGATTATTTTAACCAGAAATTTCCATGTGTCTCTGTCCCTCGCATCAGACATCCATAACCTTCTATGCTGTCGTCAATAGCTGCGTCCACGAGTCCAGGTACGAACATTGTGTGCTGATTTCTCAGCCTGGTTCAGCCGTTTTACGAACACTTCTGCCTTGGTAGTCTCAATCGGGAAGAATCCACTCTGATGTCCTTAATGTCCATCTTCGTCTGTTCTTCTCGTAATGTGCCCGGCCCATTGATGTCTTACGCGACGTATTCCGTTGGATCACGAATACGGGACACTCTTCTCATATCCTTAGTGCGAAGTCCGGCAAGATGTTGTTTGTGTCGGTTGATCTTCAAAGCGCTCAAGCGCTCTGTGGGATGTTGGCAAATCTGGATGTGGTTGCAATGTTCGCTTAGGTTTCGGCTGCGTAACGAACCGCTGGGAGAAAGGTCGAGTCGGACAAGTGAGCTTGAAGCTCCGAGTTGTTGGTCAATGGTTCCTCCAGAGGCCCGAGGGCAGCCCAAGCTGCTCTTCTTCTCCTGTTCATTCTTCCCTTAACTCGTTTTCCATATTCATAAAGCGAAGACGAGAGAAGACGTAAGAAGACGTCTCCGTGTTGGACCTGTCTCCCAGTTCCAATTAAGCATCTTCTCATGGAAAGACTTTTTATAAACTGGATGATCTCCATCCGATTTATTCGCAGACCGATCTTCTCCCTAATTCGCTTAGTTCCTTCTTCATTGTCTTAGCTTCGGTGACATTGCTCGAAAAGAGAACGACTTTGTCCGCAAAGCTAAGATTCGAGAGGAAACTCCCATCAACTCGTATGCCTCTCTCGTCCCAGTCCAGTGACTTCATCACCCACTGCAAGGCCGCGGTGAACAGCTTCGGCGAGATTGTGTCGCCTTGTCGGGCCCCCTTCCCAATTGGGATGATCAGGGAGAGATGGAATAGCTGCATAGTCGCTGTGCATGCTTGTAGCAGTCGCCTAGTGTTTTCACTTGGGCTGAGTCCACTTCTTGATCAACTAGCGCTGACAGGATGACGTTGGTCTCGAGGCGGTCTCGAAGCCTTTTTCGTCTGCAGACGTTAGGACGAGAAGCAGTTGATACTTGAAGCAGACTTCTGTGTTCCTCGAAACCGTCTGAATTTGTTCCATGCAGCTGCTTTACGAAATCCAGATTCTTCTTGGGGTTGGTGTTCATCGAGTGTTCTTGATATGCTAGTGAGGATATTCTTCGTGAAAAGCACTTTGTACAGCATACTCAACAAGTATATCAAACGGTAGTTCCGAAGACCTTCCCGATCGTCGTTTTTATAGAGAGTAACGGTCCTTCAGCTTCTCCAATGGCAGCATTTTTTTGGAGATAAGACGTCGGATGCGATGCGTGAATCTCGTGTAGACGGCGCCCTTCGACTCGCAGAAGTTCGAGAGAGAGATGATCTGATTCTGGAGCCGTGGACGTCTTCATGGTCTAGATCGCACGCGATTCAAAACGTGGTATCCATAGTGCTACTTCTCCGTATGAACAAGGGGCATCGGCACGCGTGCTGATGAGAAGAAGAGGATGGTGTTGAAGTTGTTCGCCATAGTATCCATTTTACCTTGAATAGAAGTCGGTTTGAGTTGCGGAAGGTGACAATACTCAGTTCGAGCATGCTTTGCTACGTTTGGTTGACAAGTTCATGAGTGACCTGCTAACGCGTTTTGGTTGATTTACTATTAGGTTCTTGTAAGAACATGTTCGAGTAGGAGATAGGTGAACAAATTCCTCTGCTTTAAGTCGCCTTCGCTAGCAACTGGTCCTTCTGGGCCCTGAAAACTCTTCGGTGCTAAAGTAGCACGATGCCAGTTTAGGGAGGAGCGAGAAGGGGGGGGGGAGATATATGACCCAAAGCCATAAGTAAAATTCGGCAAAAGTTAACAAGGAAGATTTTACATGTCTTGCACTTTGCGCGGATTGTCGCCTTCCGCGTGCCCCCAACTGGGTCCCGTCTTCGTTCAATAATGCTGCTGCGGTGCGTGAAATCCAAGGAAATCCCTTCGGTACATCTCAAGACGTCTTCCTTTGGCTGCTTCAATATCTTAGGTCACTTGTAGTTCCAAAGATCATCCTGCAAAGCTGTTCTGCGGCTGGCGTTCGCTGTCAGTCGCTCGAAATGGGTTGCATTGAAATCCTGCCTTAAATCTTTTTAGTTACAGCAATTTTTGGTGTCTTCGAGATGGTTTCGACTTTTCTGAAGTTACTGAAGCATACACTTTGCAGGCTTGCAATCCTTCCAGAAGTAGTTCGTTGGATCCTCTTCGACAAGCCAATCACAACTTGATTTGAGCTGTCGCCGTCATAATAGACACCATTTCCTTCTTTGCCACTCATGGCAGATCATCTTTTTCAGCCTCCTGTTTGAAGCCGCTGCAGAAGGGTTGAACAATTGGGACATCAAGCTCAAGTAAGGCCTCGAACACAGTTCACGCGATTTGATCGTCGCGATTCAGTCGCTACAAGACAACTGTTACGAGTTCATTGCAAGCCGATTAGCTTGCATTTCGGTTGTGATACTTTTCCAGCTCGAAATTTTTGAATGTAAAATGAAAATGAATGAAAATCCCGGCGGTTGAATCGCTACGATCAAATCGCGTGAAGTCTGTCCGAGGCCTAAAACAGCAAGTTCCACCTTTAATTGATGAGGATGTGATCGATCTCCGCATAAGTTGTACCGTTGGACTATTCTCAAGTCCTGACGCTGCTTATTCTTCATGAAGATAGAGTTTCCAGAAAAAAAATCATATTACTTTTGACTCACCATAGCGGAAGTAGGATGGCCAGTCGAAATGACAGGATTTCGAATTGACAAGATGTACAATGGACTATACTACAAAACAACGCCTTCAACGTTTCGTGGTAGAACTTTCCCACCACGAATGATGAGAGGCCCATCATTCAAGTGTCCTACATCCTTCTTTCTGGTCTTCATTTCCCGTACAGCACTGGCGTAGTACTGTGGTTTGCAGCGTTCAAAAGAGCGTAGAAGCTAGCGTTTCAAGAGACTGTCCCGGCGTTGCAGTTGCAGAGAATGAGGCATTCTTCATAACGTAATGTCGCAAGTGTGTCGATTTTGCCCGATCCAGAAGGCTCCTTGAACCTGACATCGTTCTCGTAATCAGTTACTCGACGCCTAGATGGAGTCCGATGTGCAGGGTTTTCCATTTTTTCTAACTGACGTTTAAGAGAACTCTTCCCCTAAAAGAGCAAACTCATAATGCAATGCTCTTGACTTCCACAGTGGGATCGTCGACTTTGGAAGTTAGAGAGGACCGCGTCGATGCTTACAGTCTGCCCCAATCCCGATCAGGCCAAAAGTGGCATGGCGGGAGCCCGTGTCGCTAGATTTCGCGGTCACGCCCAGGTTGCTTGGCTGCTCCCTCTTCGACCTTCTCGCTCTCTCCGCCAGCGCGCATATGCAGCGCAAACGCCTAGCGCTGCGAGCGCACAAATCCACGCCGACGGTTCGGCCTGATCTCGATTGGGGCAGACTGTACCTACAGCCAGACGGCGGGGAATCCAACCGAGCCTGCTCTTAGCCAAGCAGCCGGCCGAAGCCAGGAATGTGTCAAATTTCTTAACAGCTTGGGAGGCTCTACCAATGTACGCTCATGTACATTGCTGTTCGACGCCCAGTGTCACCCACCCAACTTGTGACGGCAGGCCAGAGTGGAGTTGACACTATGATGCATATCAAGGACACTGGATAAAGCTGAACCCTAAGAGCAAGCTAGAACTTCAAGATTTTCAACTGCATGGACCACATCCGCACGATTTCGAGTGTCAGATGCCTGCCCTTATCATCCGCTTTCGTCTTAACCTTGTCGAACTACGAGGAAGCTTTTGACAACATTGAAACGAACGCCACCCTGTCCGCGATGGTCGCTCAAGGACTGGACCCAGCTTATGAGAGGACATTAGCCGATTGCTACAAGGAGCTTAGAACGGCGATGCAGCTACTGCAATGTACAACGACGATCCTGCACAGAGCACAGGCCTCTCTATTCATTAGCTTTGGGGAAAAGCGAGACATGGTAAAAGGACACAATCACTCTGGGACAAGAGCAGCATAAACCATAAACATAACCCATTCGAAAAAATGGTACTATCTATCTCAATGATTGGGATGGGTCTTGTGCGGTTTGAAATTCTCTCGTCTGGGCTCTTAAGCGTGACAAGCATGCTTTCTGATCATTCTCCCACGCTTAATTAGCGAATGAAGTTGGGCCTTTTTCCACTCAGGGTGCTTTAAAGATGGGCAGAGCTTAAAGGCACCGTCCACCCTAAGTTGAGTGTGTTGAGCTTTTGGCAGCATATAACAGTAGGGCCTCCTATCAAGCCAATGTCCATGTCGCGGCGCAATATGCCGCTTCGGGAGCGAGAAAATCGCTTCGGAATAGTGAAGATGCACGAGGACCCCCATCCATGCCTGCCCCTCCCCATCCGTGCCCGCCCATTTGTGCGCGCTCATCCAATCACCGTTCTGGAAAGCCGGTCTGTGGGTTCTCCGGAATGGGGATTGTCGGGGTTTTCGCGGATTCTCGACTTCATATTTGGAATCAGGGACATGAGAAGGCCCCGAAACGACAAAAACCTAGAAGTCGAGAATCTGGGTGGACGGTGCCTTTAAAGGCAGTGTCCAGGCTAAACCTAACCCCCTCCGATTAGTGTCGGTCCTGAATGTAGGCCCAGAAAAGGGTCACCTACGTTGGTCCGGTCTTCTAACGTTGTCTCTGAATGGAGATAAGGGGCCTGAAATTCCCTGGCTGGGCGGAGTCTGATATCAGACTCCGCCCATCAGGGACTGCTCACTGCACACTGCAATGCAACTGCACCCATGCAGTTGCAGCTCCTTCCCGCTGCCGACGGGACGAGCAATTCGAAACTCGTCCGCGCCCTCAAGACTGGGTCTGCAAGAATCGGGTTTTTTGTGAATTTTAGAGAGTTTGAAGTTCGGAACTGTAATCAGGGCCGCGGAAAGGCCCCAGAATGACGAAAACATGGGGGGTTAAATTCTGGGTGGACGCTGCCTTTAAGCTAAGCGGTCGTGAGGGACCGGGCCTCGCGAGTCCTCTTCACTTCTTAAAAGGATATGCGCAAAAACGGTACATAGTGTTGTCACAACACTTTCGCTACGAAAGGGCACAGCCCATGACCAAAGCTCAGTCGAGATCTCGGCATAAGTAAAAATATATACCCTCGACGTCAATCCCTAAGTTACATTTGCAAAGTGGAGTGGTGTGGTGCAGCCGCTTCGCTTTGCGTTCGCGCCACGTTGCTGGGGCATCGTTTAGACGTGATGTGGCGCTAAAAACAACGTGGCGCCACAACATGTTCAAACGTGGCAACAAGAACAATGTTTCTTCGCTGCGTTGCCACGCCATGCCAACTGATGCGCTCGCAAGGTGGCGCGAGCCCAAAGCGAGGCGGCCGCACCACAACACTCCACTTTGCAAATGTAACTTAGGGATTGACGTCGAGGGTATGGCGTGGCGCAAAACCCCTTCTATGACGAACGCGGTAGCACAGGGCATGCTCCCAGCCCATAAGCGTCCTTATGAAACTAGAGCACACATAGCATTCAGAATTTGCCCGAGACGGGAGCGGGACAAGTGGGCCTAGCTTACAAGTAGCTTGAATTGATATGCAAAGAAAGGGGCACATGATGTGGGTCATCACTTACCAGTTTTGCCAGAAACGTAGCACAGCCATCTCGCAAAGTGCGCATGAAAGCAACACAGAGTATGGACCCAGCCTTCTGTACTTACTTTCATGAGACGAAAGTGACGCGTTGGTATGGAACCTGAACCTGTAGGGAGAGAGTGGCAGTCAGAGACATTTTGGCCTCGTAAGAAGGATGAGGATGGGCGTTGTTTATCCTTACCCTTCTTATAAGACGAAAGCGATGTATGGCGTTGGCACAAAAAATTGCACGTGATCCAAAAATGAGCAGAATGGGCCCATCCCTTCCATGGAATTCACAAGAGGGTAATCTTTACCATTTCTTGCGCGAGTATTGGAGCACAGCGTATAGGCACAACAGCTCGTTTGCACGTATGCGGCGCAAAGCTTGGACGTATACCGCTTGCTTGCGACGAAAGTGGATTGGCGAAGAGTGGACATTGTCGCTGTTGGCTAAACACCCGTGAGCTTGGCTGCTGTGCGGAAGCTGACATGGCTTGCAGGACAGCTTAGCATTGGAGCTTGACAACTCCTGCGCAACAAGCTGCGCATCCGATACGCTCATTGGAGCTTGGCCTACATCGCTGCAATCAATTTTAGGTAGTCGATCTAAATAGCTTTATTCTTCGATCCGTTCGCTGATGGCAAGCTGCAAAAAACACGGCGCTGCTCGCAGTTAGTGTAGTCCATTCTAACTCTCGACATGAAGAACTCATTGGCATGCGACACAGAATAAAGCCTTGACATTGTCTCATGCTGCTTGATGCTTTTTGCATGATATGCTAAAAGCATCATGCAGCATGAGACAATCACAATTCCAGAAATCGCAAAAATAGGACACAGCCTGAATTGTATCTAAATGGGGCGAAGCGGACGTAGTGGACAGGCCACACATGATTTGCCTGCGATAGAAAGCTCACAAATGAGCATAGTTATGGGCCAGCAATGAAAACTGCGCACAGCACTAAACCTTTAAACCTAATGCTGTGGAACGACAGTGCCCAGCTTGGGCAAAGCCAAAGGAAGGAACTGCCCAAGAGTCAACCTGCCCATCTCTTTTGTACGATGGGTGGTAGTTCCCATCTATCTGCTAAAGAAACTATGGCTGTTGTTTATCGTCTCCTTGACGGCGAGCTCCTTCGCTCTTGTTTTTAGAAAAGAAATAGCGTAAAATTCCTAAACGGTCAGTAGGTTGTGGACGGTCTAGCAGACTTTCTAGATGATCTTATTATGATTACCGCATGATCTTTCAGACGAATATCAAGGATATTCCATGAAAATCTTGCCGCTCCTAATCTTGGTTTCGATCTGTACTGCGCCTTTGGCTATCGCACAGCTATGCAAGGTGGGTCTTTTACTTCTCCGCATAAATGAGTGGTTTAAGAACATGAAGAGCTAAAATGTAATTTTTGAGCAGGTGCAGTTTACTCGTGCGTATGCAAATATATAATCCTGTCTATCAACATGCATTGCTTGAAATAAAAGCATATCAAGGTTAATAAGTGGCTTGTAAAATAGTAAAAAGCCCTTCCCTGTGATTACTGACTGTTACAAAGACTACTGACGTTAAAAATAGAGAAAATTTTGCCCAAATTACGTATGACTTTTACCTTGGGCATGGCAGCGTTTTTACTTGATTTGAACTTAAGTAACAGGTATAAGATCGACATACTTTTTCATTTGCTAGCTTTAGATCTAAGAGAGGGTAAATAACAAATGCTTATTCTATGAATCATCTAACAAGGAAGGCTTCCCAAGTCAGCTCGGCCAACCCGGATGAGTCATATATCACCGTAACGGGCTCGAGACGCTGATTCCAAACCTGCCGTTTCCAGCTGCGGAGCGGTCCTGCACGAGAAGTTATGGGTGGTGTTTCCCTCCAGAGTTGAGGCACCCGTCAACTTGCTTCCCCTTGTTTATGAGCGCTACATAGGAGGCGCGTGGTCGTCTGGTGTAGTGGTAAGTGTCTTGCTCGATAGGCAGAGGGTCACGGGTCCGAATCCCGTTAATTGTAACTTTATTGCAATTTTTTGCAAAATGTAAGTTTGGGCTTGTAAATGGTTTTGGAGCACTGGATCCTTTGACGGGTGCCTCAACTCTTGAGGGAAACACCACCCATAACTTCTCGTGCAGGACCGCTCCGCAGCTGGAAACGGCAGATTTGGAATCAGCGTCTCGAGCCCGTTACGGTGATATATGACTCATCCGGGTTGGCCGAGCTGACTTGGGAAGCCTTCCTGTTAAGAATTCATGCCCTACAGCTCTCTCATCTCATCATTGACTTATTCAGCTCAACTTTCCCAAAGGAGTTCCATGCACCAATAACGAAACATGTCTGACCTTCGAAAGCAGCGGCAAAACATACAGCTTCGCTAAAAACGGGGCGTACTGCAAAGGTGCTGACGATACAAGTGGACAAGGAATATGTTGCTTTGGTAAGTTTATCATGCTTCAATGCAAGAATGAGAAACGCTAACATATTCAAGTGTTCTGATCTGTAAATTGTACAAAACTTTTGAAAGAAAACAACTTCTTAAATTAGGATGCTTCTTTGTAGGGAGAGCAAATTACATGAAAACGTGACCAACACGCGGGTTTGGTGTTGGGTAATCTCCCGAATTGTAATGTGACATTTAGGGATAAATGCATGTAAGCCCAAGCTAAAGTAGTATTTGCAAATTTATGTGAGATTCGCTTCAATCATGCACAATTTTGCATTTGAATAGTGCATAAATGTAGGAATTGAAAGTCGATTTTGCAGTTTAAATGTAAGTGTTTGTGAAATCGATGGCAAATAATAGTGAATATCTTGAAGCAAAAGCACTTAGAGGTTCTCTAGTTTTCTCAACAGAACTGATTACATTTTCCACTCATTACAGATTTTTTGAACTAGGAGAATTTAAAGGCATTCGAGAATGTTATTCAGCCATTGTTTTATGAAACAGTGGGATTGTTTGAAAAAAGCAAACTGACCTATCGCCTATGCATACATTTTGAAAATCAGAATTTGACCAAACTGAAGCAGAAAGGTGCTTTAGTATATCATACTGCAATTTAGAATTGTTTTCGAAGTGCGAGTTAGGAGTAGGGAACTTGTGGGGGAATTTTGCGAATTTGTTGAGCTTCTCTTTTTCTCGACAGGCCTAGCATAAACAAATCGTTGTAGAGTTTTTGTTGCCAATCTAGATCGAGTAGAGCCGAATGTTACATCTCACAAGACCGCTATGCATCTGACTGGCTCTGACAACTACTTTGAAAGTAACAAGTATTTTTTTGTGAAGCGATACTGTTGAGTTTGAGCCGTTTGTTTTGAGTCAGTAAAAAAAATTACCTAACTTAAACCCTTTGCATTAAAAAAATAAACAGTAGCTTGTACTGTATTTAGACGAGGGTGTGTGCTCTGCCTACTATTCCCAATCTCAACCACTTCTGAAGGAGCACAAACAAACACATCAAGTTGTTTTGTGTACCAGTGATGATCAATGCGAGAGTGAAAGAAAAATGGTGAAAACCATCAAAGAGTACACATGCCAAGTAAGTTTTCCCCCACTGATTTCTATATTTGCAAACATTATACATTATATCAATGCAATTATAAAATGTATTTTGCATCAAAAAAGTAATGCTTTTCTTCGATTGCTACCGGCATCACGAAATATCTACAGTTAGTAGAGTGATGAACGACTTATGAAGATTTATTACTTCTTTTATAAGAATTTCAAAACTGTGCGGTAAATCATTTTGATCTATCTGTTTATTCGCAAATGGTGAGTAGCAGATCGAGTCAAACTCAACGAGATTTTATTGTGTAATACCTGTCCGCAAATCGGATAGAATATAGCTAGACAAGCATCCATATAGGCATCTTCAGCTCAACATTGTTCAAGGCAGTTTCACCTCTTTGCTGCGTTTATGTTACTAAACGAATTACCTCGAAAACTGCTTGATTCTTCAAATTTTCGAAGCCTATGTTTTTGCTTCACGTAGCCTCAGCTTATCTTCAAAAACTGAATGAGAGTGAGAGAGGATTACATAAAGAGCAAGTATTCTCTGATGTAATCTTCTCTGATCTTTGAACAAGCTTCTCGGGACTTTCCAAAACTATATTTCCAGAAGCCATAAATTCTTTTGAACCCAAAAAACATTTAGGGCACAATGTATTATGAAATAAGATTTTTGGATTTCACGGTTTTAATGCTAATTTTCCGTCGCAGCAATTCTTTGGAAATACTTGCAATAAAAAACACACCATAGAGCATTTGTTGGCTTTTCGGATCCTTGTAACACTGGTTTTTCAAAAATTACCATGCGATCTGAAATCATTTTGAACCAAAATCAATACGCCAAAACCCGTTTCCTCCATCCGAGTTAGACGCTTTTGCTGGAGTCCTCAAAATCATAGTCGATGAAATCTGGCTTCAAACAGCAGCCTGAGAGCCCAAAATTTACGAGCATGTAAAAGATAGGTTGCTTATGTTTTAAGAGCCAGCAATACATCACGCGATTTCATCGCCTCACAATTCTCCCACCAAGACAACTGTTACAACTCATCACAAGGTGATCACCTCGCATTTCGGCTGTGATATTTTCCGACGCAACTAATCGCTAATGAGCTTTCTCAGGCCATACTTCCCTCGTAGAAATCGTCGTTTGGCTAAATTTCAGCAACATCTCGTCGCCGACTTCAAACGAGCGAGAGGACCTCTTTCTGAAAATTATGATCGCCCTTAAATCTTGGCCGCTTTCTCATTTGGGATTTTTAGAAACTACTTCAATTTGGCACTTGCGTTTTTTTCTTGATGCAGCCGCATGGACTTTCGTCTATATTATTCGATATGCTGTAGGATCACGTAGAAAGCTCGGTTACGATCAATAAATTACGAATTTCGCGAGAACTTGGCGCGAGAGTTCTTCTAGAATTGATCACGGATATCATACTCTCTCTATGATTTAAGGCCACTTCATGGAGTTATGGTAGGTTACGGTGACGCGTCAAAATATTGGATCTACCTAGAACTTTGAGCAAGGGAGGGGGAGTATTTGGCATGCAAAACATGGATCAAATATTTTGATATTTTATTAGGTTGTCAAGAAAATAATGTCGGTTTTTATTTGCTTGCTTTAACAATAGCAACCAGACTCAACCCAACAAAGGGTAAGGGGTACTGTTCGATAGAGCAAAGCAAGCTCTACAAGATGGCACTCATGTCTTTGCGCCATGCTCGATCCACGGAGAGTTCGAACTCAAAATCTAAAGATTTCCAAATGCCCAAAAAATCGAAAAAAATCAGATCTTCGTCCAAATAATTTCTACGGAGCTCCCACCCGCTCACATTAATACTATCGATATCTGATATCCATATGTGCGATTGTCGTATTTTTTCCTTGACTAAAAACTGAGAAAACGAAAATTTTCGTGTTTTTCTAAAAGGAATGCTGAGCCGTTTTTGCATGTGTAGTTCTATACTACAAGCCTAGGTAAGTATAACTGTAGATTTTCAGCCCATTCCAAGCGGTAGTTTTCGAAAAATAACGAATTCGGATTTTTTCGTTTCAGTTCTAGTGCTAAAATCGACATTTTCTTTTTAGCCTTTAGCTGAATTCACAATATTCATAGAGACACGGACTTTCAAAGGTGCATGCTTCAATTATGGTGGTGCTACGATGAGGTGCCTATGCAAAATATAAAAACAAGAGGCCTATTTTTTACATGTTTGTGAAACTCGGGCTCTCAAGCTGCTGCAGGCAAACAAAATTTGGGCAAAAACATGAAAAATCTTATATGGACTGCTACCCTTGTTTGATGGTTTAGGAGAATAGAAAAGGCTAAATATTAAATTTGTTTTCTTTAGAAATTAGATCACTAATCCAAAACATGGGATTAAAACAAAAAAATTCTTGTAAACACAGTGTTCAAGGCAAAAAGCGGAAGAATGAGCAAGTCATCAAAATCAAAAAGTATTGCGATGAAATCCATTGACAAAGTGTGACCCTTTTGTTACTGACACATTGAAGCCGCTGCTTATTAGGCGCTCTATAGAAAAAATATTCTTTAAGCGAAAAGCATCAGACTAGTTGCACCTTTTGTAAGGTGTTCCCGCTTTGACCAGCACAAACCTCCTCAGTTCTACAATAATAGCCCATCAGATTTATTCTTCTAACTCTGGATTAGCGCAACACAGTCTGCTCAAGATCAATGAGGCTTAAGTAATGTATTGCTTCAGCAATTTCGAAAACATTTCAGTAGGAAAATTATTAAGATACTTTTATTCAAAAAAATATTATTTCGCTAATCTAATGATATCTAGCAAACAAGCTGAGAATGCAAAAAAAACTGCGTGTGTCACAGAATTCAATTAATCTGATGCATGATCCATCATCGTTGAATCAGATTCAAACTAGATTTTTCAGAATAGTGTCTGCTGCTCGAAATTTGTGGAGGCAGAAAAGCCAGGTAAGGATAAGAAAAATACCAAACATATACACATATATATAGTAAGTACGTAAAGTATGTGAAAGGAGAAGATCAAAGTAAGTACAAGAAAATTACTTTAAGATATATACTCATATCAGTAGCGATCGCACAAGGCGAAGTTGAATTTTTGAAAATTTTCAAAATTATTTTGATTTTTTCGAGAATAAACAAGTCATTTGCACATTTTTCTCGCATTCAAAGGGCGGACACTAATGTCAGATGTGATTGTGTTATGCATTATCGCACCCAGAAAAAAACAGAGTCCGTCTTGATGGACTTATTTTATTGTCGGATTTTCAAAAGTAGAGATGATAGACTACCAACAAATGCATTGCAATGCAATCGCTATCGCTACTGCTTTTGAATGTGGTGTATTTTTTACTTCTCAAAGAAAGACCTCCGTCGTTTGATATGCCTTCTCAAACACTTAGTATCATAACAAGTTCTCATTAGAAAGAAATTTCTGCAGACCTGAGAAGCCATTTTTGAAACATTGGCAGAACTTTTGATTGCACATCTCAGCATGGTACTATAATAGATTCAACATGCTTTATCTCGAAACTTACATGTACACAGTTGCTTTGTATATTAATCTCGCTCGTAGAGATTGAAAGAAGGGTACGGAATCGTAGAAGAAAATTCGCGTCTGGCTAAACAAACAAAATAAACTGTCTGTCCATGCCAAAGTTTCCCACATAGAATTTTAGATATTTTTGAAAACCGTGATTATCGATCATATCCTTTCAGAATGTGAACTGACAGGAGGACCTGTAAGTAATATAGCATGTACCAATTGTAAGGACAATCAGTACTGTGGAAAGAACGGATGTTGTAGTAAGTGCTTCTGCTTCAAAGTTTACTGTGTGATATCACAAGTTGCTCTTGTTCGCTGAAAAAAGTTACGGGAGGAAGCCAACTGAACGAGAGTTAGTGTAATTCGCATGTCTTGCATATATTATATATTTTCTTTCAGACTCTTTTCTAATGTTTTCGTAATACCCTAAAAAACTCCAAAAAACGGTGAATCTTACCGGTTTTTCTTTACGCTATGAGGCAACCCCGGTTACAGGGAATGGGTAGCCATCCCAAGACCCAAGCAACGGCTCGCTCATGCTAAATATCTAGTCTCACCTCTCCGCCGATTTACGCTTCACGTCGCCTACTACCTCCATGTTTCCTTCCTCTCCCGCACCGCATATAACTTACGATAGCATCTTTATAAGTGCACTCCTAACAGACTCACATGGTCACCGCATGCTGCGAACAGAAAACTGAAAATAAGTTTTACTGCCCCTGCCACGACTATGGAAAAGTGCTTGGTTAGAGCATGATAAGTTTCATTTTTTAGATGTACACATAAGCAAATTAGTAGATTAATAGAAAAGCATTCCGCCTTATAAGTTACCTAGCAAATTCTACTCGGAATCAGATTCAACTATTTACAAATTTTCACATTCTAAGTTGACTTCCATGTACAGCATGATCATTTACAGATCTCGTTCATTTGGCCTTCACCTTAAAGCCACTAGTCGATGTCAATAACACAGAAATCCTAAAAATCTAATCACTTTGCGAATCAAATCTCATATCATAGCTAATATTTAAGATATAACAGCATGGTGTCAGGGAACACCCAAGATGTTGCCACAATACAATGTCGCAAAGGAGGGCGAAAAACTGTTTTTTCAGTACGTAGTCCATTTTTATGTAAGTGTTATAATAAACAATGCGTTGAAGGACTTGCACTAACGTCGAGGAGTGCACACAAGACTTTCCTAACAGTTACTGTTCGAAAATTACTGGAACTGAAAAGAAATACTGCTGCCGTGAGTTTATTTTATGCCACTGGCAGATTTATTTTGGTATTTAATGTACAGTTGTATTTGAAATAAACAGCTTACCTTATCTTATCTCTCAAGAAAAAGATTTGGGAGAAAAAGCTGTTTATATTTGTCGAAAATTGATCTATCAAATGTTAACATTTTGAAAAGTATAAATTTCAGCTATACCGTTCTCGAAATCATTCAAGACTAAAAATCGAAACCTTTTGCCAACAAATGTGCTGAAGCACACAAAGGAGATGACGACGATAGATAGCAGGAGCGGTAAAAGTGCTCTAACACTCAAATTACAAGAAGAAGTCGAGCAAGGATTGGAATTCTCTAAATCTTGTGAGAAGCATGAAGATTGTGGAGAGGACGAATTTTGCGATGAAGTTGTACCACTAAATATAAAGAACGCGGAGCGTCTAAAGAAAAATCCAAAGTTATGCTTTCCATGTAAGTAACTGAACAAGATAGTAAATTTATAGTTCCACTGAACAAAGAACTTTTAGCGCCAAGGTGTGCGGGTAAAGCAAAGAAGAATCCAAATGGACCCGGGATTATGATCTGCAGCGGTCCAGAGGATTGCGGCGAAGATAGCTTCTGTGATACTGAAACGCATAGAGGCGCCACATTTCCAGGTTTAGAGGAGCTTGGCATTTGCTGCCGCTGTAAGTAATTCGTAATTAAAACTAAACATCTGTAAGATTGTGGTAGGTGGCATAGGGCGCTTCAAAATTTTTCAAGGAAAAGGAGTTGAAATTCTACACTCGTCTTTACCTGATTAGGCATCTTGTTTGCAAACTAGAATTTGAGCTCGTGCATCACAGCTGTTACGACACCAGGCTATGTCTGATGACTCTCAGTTTTTTGTCTTGCATGCTATTTGGTGTTTTTACTGAATTAACTGTTGTCACTAAGCAATGCTTCTTATTGCTGCGTACTCCAACTTTTATCAGGTAAACTCGACGAGATGATGCAGTTGGGAAGTCTGCGATATAAAATTTGCAGAAAGTGTCCTTCGCGAACATTTCAAGTTGCTTAAACCTCGGCATTGTTCGTTAACAAGATTGAAAAGTCCTTTAGTACATGCTACCTACCAAAAGTTTGCAAGCAAAAAAAATCTTTTTTTTTTGTTTTCTGCTAGAATTTGAGTCAGAGCAAAAATACACTAATAGATAACATTGTTCGTCAACAACAAAATTTACAAAATTTTCAAGTAAGTCCTGATAAATTTGAAACCCAAGAATAAGACGCATCGACGAAATAGCAAGAAAATATGCGTAGGCTTGAACGCTGAGTGTACACCTCTGGGCAACCAAAGTGTTTTTTATGTGTCTAATCTAGTGAAATTAGGACGACTATACGGAATAATTTATCAAATTCAATGTCTTGAGAAGTTATCAAATTTAGAAGTGATCTCGAGTTTCTAGTGTTTATATCGATCTGCTTCACTTTCAGTACCAAAGAAAACCACTCATTCATCGCCGCTAAGCAAAGGTCTTAAGGATCTCTAAAATTACGAAAGCTTCAAATAGCCTATGTATAAAACCCATGTTTTTAATATACAAGGAATGGTTATGCCGAAGTTTTCAAAAATGAAGCATGATTTGAAAGATTCTAATCTATATTGAATAGATTTTCATAAGGATTTAATATTTTATGGCTCGAAGTTAAGGCAACTGTATTTGCTAAAATCGTGTAGGACAGAGAAAGGCAAAGGGAGAAACATGGATGTGATGAACTAAAACCTAGAGTGCAATTAATTGCGAAGGAGATTCTAATTTAGATAGAGTACATGCCTCTACTAAAGTTTCAAAAATATAGATATTAATTGGGATGGGTGCAAAGGAGCCATAGATATTTGTTGGGATGGGTGCAAGGAGCCCGCCAGGCAAGAAGATGTTTGAATCTTTATTCTCTGTATTTCTTGTTTAGTTGACTGAAAGTCTACAAGAAAGGATTTCTGGGAAAACTTGTACCGCTAGATATCACAGTAACAAAATTTTCATAATGCACGAACGAAGTACTGGCGAAATATCGGAGGAGACTTTATTTTTGTAATTGCTACTCAAGATTTCCATCATCAGCGCTCATAATACCTCATGAAAAGCTTTCGGAAAAATGAATTATCCACTAAAGGTCTTCCGACACCTTAATAACGATTTTGTTCGACAAAAAGTGGTCTTATTGTTAATCGAAGTGACCTTTTCAAATGTATTCTGAATTTTTTTGTATAAAGCACTGAATGCTGTATTCAAATTTTTTCTTCAAACTTATATCATATCCGCACTTGCTCTATTCATATCTCCATGTCTAGTAGCGCACAGCAAACATCAAAAGAAAAAATTGATCTAGCGTTTCGTTGTTATCTAAAACGGCATGAAACCATTAGGATGTGTCATTCTGACTCATAACACTTTTGTAAAATTTCCTCAATCGAACGTGCACTTTTGAAGTTTTTCTCTTTTTTTTTGAGTACGACAATAACAAGCTGATTAGTGCATGCATGCACGAACGCAAAATCTACAAAAATTTCAAATGGTCAATTATGTATGTGAAAACGCCATTTCATGCACATAACCTATTATCATCATTAAGACGATTGCAAGAATGAAGCGAACGAGAAAGGAATGATGGCTGATGCAAGCCTTGATGCGTACGCTGTCCTTACAGATCAGAAAGGACAATGTGGAGCCGATTTAGATTGCGGAGAGTAAGCGAAGATTAGATTTTTCATGATCGGTTTTTCTAAAACAAATTTTGAAGTCCTGGTCTATGCGTTGATGCTAAGGATCAAAGCAAAGCTAATTACGAAGGGTTCCCGACAGGAAAAATTCTAAGGCTTTGCTGCAAGTGTAAATTTCCATGAAATAGACTATAACAACAAGTTGATTTTTTATGCGTTTTTAAGTTATGATGAAATCAAAAGAGGACTTGTATCAGTGCAAAATTGATAAAGCACTACCAGACCAAGACGGCAAGACAATGTCCTGCAAGAATGACGAAGACTGTAATAGAGTGTTGGGACAGGAACTAGCAGATCCAAGTAAATGGGATTATGAATGTATAAAGTCAGAAAAGGCAGTAACATATTGCTGCAAAGGTAAGATTACTTGAATTATCACACTAAATAAATGCGATTGCTTGATTTCGAGTCTTGTTAGTTTATATGGGAGCAGAAGTTGCTCAATGAAGAAAAATTTACTCTTCGCCAAGATATCTTATATATCTTTGAGTTGGATAGTATCACCAAATACATGCATTCTGGTGGTTCAAACAATATGCAGAGAAATATTTTTATCTGCAAATAAAAATTAGCGCTTTTCCTATAAAGGTTCAATGAAAGCGAGATCTAATTTAAGCAGGCGCTGACGTCTTGGTTGAAAACTTTACCAGTTTCCATGGATGAAAAGGCAATTTCATACAATGACTCATTTCCCAATTTTTGAGATTTCTAAAAAAATCCATAGCATGACAGCAAACGCAAATCTCTTTGGAACAGTTACAAATTACCCTGCATTTTTGCATTTAAAAAGTGATTTGTTGTAAATTGTGCTGTACAAATTCATCCATTCGCTATGCTCCTTTCTCAAAGTTTCTCGCATCACTGATTTAGATGGATGAAAGTGTTGTAAGTGCATAGACACGCATTTTCGATGCTTGAGCTGTTTCCAATTGTCACTGACTTCAGATTTGTTTGAAACGCTTGCTCACGTTGTCATACACTAATTTCACTCATTATGTTTTCCACTTTCTTAACTAGTTTGTTTTAGTATAAAGCCTCTTAAATTTTTTTAGTTCACAAGTGCGGAGATGATTTCACGTACATGAGGACAGAGCTTGAGTGCTCCGATTCAGAAGATTGCATGAAAGAACAAGAGGATCAGAGCGATGCTGAAGCACGTGCCGTATGCACGCAATATTTCGAAAAAAATGTAGAGAAGAAGAAAAGATGTTGCCCAGTTGGTAAGTAATTCAGTAAATTATCCGCAAACAGATACTACATATTTGACCAGTCCACAAAAGAGGTTGAATGAGCTGGAATTGGTGATCGGTGATTGCGATCATTTTGTGGAGATACAAATGTTTTTAGTATAGCTACCTGTTCTGCAAGAATTGGACATAGCCCATAGTCTTGTTGGAAATTTTTTTCTTTTTATCATCTTTGGTTGAAGGGGCATTTAAATTACCGAACAAACAATACAAGAAATGCAATGCAATTTCCGCAGTTCTCTGCCACAATATTTTTAAAAACAATTTTCTTTAAAAATATTTAATTTCTTTCTTTGATAATAGTTCTGCTCTCCAATGATTCTATGAGAAAGTGTGAACCATTTACTGAAAGTAGCTTGGCGGCTTTCCATTGAGCTCACAATGCATAATAGATTATGAGTTCAGAGAAGCTTCAATGATTTTAGCAGATTGTTGAAGATCAAAAGTACGCACTAAAAACAAATAATCGATATCATATGCTCAATTTTCCTTCTGAATGAGCAAATCTTGTGCTGTTCTAGTTACCTGACAAATCTAAAATTTTCGTGAAAATAACAGAAAGCGTGAAAATCAATTTTTTGCTTTTTTTCCCATTTTCTAAATTAGTTGATCAGCACAAACTTGCGGCAAAAAGAAGAGACCAAACACTCAGGTAATCGGCTGCGTTGGACTTTATCTAGGTTTCGGATTCTTTTTGGGTTTGCTTAAAATCCCTGGGGCTCAGAAAATATCCTTATTTTTATCTCTGCATTGAATATAAGGAGAGTAACCAAGATATCTTTAGAATTTACATGATCTATGATTTAAACAAAAGTAATGTTATGCAAGGCTATCCTGACAGAAAGGAACGATGTTTTGAAAATTGTGCAACTGAACTTTTGGTTTAACCCGAAAAAATTTTTGAAAAAAATGATCAACATAGTCTAGGAGGTTGTTTTTTCTGTGAAAAGCGAAAAATAAAAGTTGAGTCTTATTCAAGTGTAATGGACGTTCCTAGGCGATCCGTCTAAACGTAAACCATATTGCACAAGACGAAAGTGCGAACGTATGGGTGACTGCCAAGTCACCGCTTATTGTCATCCAACTGGGAAAGTTTGCTGTTATATAGGTGAGTACATGTAGATTTAATATGACACTCATATTTTCCTATTTTAGGTATTACGAAGATAGATGGAGCAGCCCATGAAAGGGGTGGCACCTGCCAAGGCACATGTGAGGATAAGGAAGTTTTTGGTAGAAGCGTGCCACAGTATTGTGTGCGTAGTACCAAGGACACAACCACTGGGGAATGCTTTCTCTCACCTTTTGTATGTAACCCACTTAGCTTTGAATTTGTCATATTCAAAATCTAATTTCAGCTAAAAGTCAAAGAACGTAGTCGAACTGTGAATTCGGTGTATAAGACAATTTTCATCATATCTGTCATCTTCACATTCGTTTTTGCAATTTTGGCCGTAATAATGTATGTAAATTATCGATCGAAGAACTTTTGCGACAAGTATACTCCCAAAAGAAAGGTGAGAAGTAGTTGTTTTTCCGCCGCTATAGGTATTTGTAATCAGTTTGTCTTTTTCTTTGTGAATAGGCTACCCTCGTCATCTATATGAAAAATTCTCTTAGATTCTTTTCAACATCTATCTATGAAACCATTTCTTGCAGAAGAAGGGAAAGGGCAAGAAGAAGAAATCAAAGAAAGATAAAGAAGGTGGTGCTACTGGCACTGAGGTGAGTGTTTTATTTTGTACATTAATTTAGGTTAGAATTTTGAGAGATAAAACGCCTAACTCGACAAAGCAACCAATCTGTTGCTTCAACAAAACTTAATGCGTACAAGTTTCAGGGAGGAGAGACCGGTGGAGGCACTAGCGGTGTCAGCGGTACTACTGGCGGTGATGGAACCAGTGGAACAAGCGGTGTCAGCGGTACTGGAGCGACTAGTGGCGCAGAAGGTGGCACAACCGGTGGCACGACCGGTGGTACAACCGGTGGCACTAGCGGAGTCTAGACTTTGTGTAGACAAACTATCGATGATTCACATGGTTTGTCAATAAAAGTTGTGTTATGCTTGTGTTTGCCAACACCTAATTTGCAGACGTCGAACAATGAGACTTGCTTCGTTTGACACTTCATCCGTCATCAATGTACTGTGCCAACCACATGCTCCCTATTCCATAACAACTACGCAACTACAGCGCGTGGGCCTTGCGCAGCGAGCTCCAGTCATACGGCAGATTTGCAAGCTTAAGCCTACGCTTGCGAATGCGGCACGAGGCCCTAGCGTTGCTTGAGCTGATCAGAATGGAGGCACATCGTTGACACATATGTAATGCTTCTTTATTTTCTACTCATAGGTTTGCACATCGATGTTTACCTCATACAGCTTTTAACGATGTGGGAAGAAAGCCATACAGCACATTATGACTGAATACAGATTTGTTGAAATCTGCTGGGAGGGACTTTTAAACCACAAAACCTCCAACCTTTATCGCTTTTAGGGCCGCATGCACTAACATCCTCGCGGGGAGGGGATCGCAGCTCAAAAGAAAGCTTCATATTCTGAAGCTCCAGATATCTGGATTTCACGCTGTGTACCTATCCGTAAGTATTCCTACTACCCTTCACTATGAACATGTTGAAGAGGAGCGAGAAGGTGTACGAACCGCATTTTCCAGCTTTTGTATGATCCTTGATGATCCCCGTCGCTTTTCTTTAAAGTCATTTTTCTTTCTCCGAAGTCAACGAAAACTTTCCAAAGCTGTACTGAACATCTAACACAACAGTGCTAAGCATGTTGCTGATGAGAACAAATGAGTTTTTGAAAAATCGAATTTTTCGATAAACCTCAAATTTCGACCTATGGATCATCGGAAATTTCATGACTTCAAAACTTCATTTGTTCTTATCAGCAACATGCTTAGCACTATTATGTTAGATGTTCAGTACAACTTTGGAAGGTTTTCGTTAACATCGGAGAAAGAAAAATGACTTTAAAGAAAAGCGCCGGGGATCATCAGGGATCATACAAAAGCTGGAAAATGCGGTTCGTACAGCTTCTTGCTCCTCTTCAACATGTTCATAGTGAAGGGTAGTAGAAATACTTACGGATGGGTACACAACGTGAAATCCAGGTATCTGGAGTTTCGAAATATAAAGCTTCCTTTTAAGCTGCGATCCCCTCCCCGCGAGGATGTTAGTGCATGCGGCCCTTAATCGTTATTCCTATGGTTCATAAACAGTGTCAATTGCTATGAGCCAGTTCGGCGCTGGCGTGAAAAGTTTACTATATGCAAACAATAAATCAGAGCGAAAGCATGTTATATGAAACAAAAAAGCATTACTCCTGTCTATCTAAATCAAAGACTGGAAGATGTTCGTTAGGCTGTTAGTTCGTTATAGAAACGCCATCCTTTGAACCAATTGAGCTCAAACTTCGCACACGTATATTTTCGGGGAGGGGGGGGGGGATTACTTATGGATGTCAATTACAAATTGTCGCGACGGGCGTTATAGTAACCCGAGCGAGGAGCAGCGGGGCTAGGAAATGTCCCAAAGGAAATGTTTAGGAGTCACTTCATTATAATGTGCAAAAAGTACATTACATAGTGATTTTCATATGTCCATTCACATCTTTACATTTTTACAATCTTTTTAGCCAAGCTTCCAAAGCAGTAGGATTTGTTATGGTAGTGTAAAAACCCTTACAAAAGGTGGACTAGTATGCTTTGCGAGTCGGATACCTGAGCTCTCCTTGCAACTGATTACTGCCAGCTGTCGCGCGCGGAGCCTGCGTAATTGACAATCACAAGTAATGGGATATACCCTACGTTTTCGACGTCGGCGGTGGTTTAGTACCACTTTTTGCGTCGATTCGTTGGGCCCTTCTATCGACTTATTGATTTTTACCAGTTGCAATAAAGATGGATCTTACCAGCCAAGCAAGTCATTTACATTTAAGCAAACAAAGTAAGTCTCATTTTTGTTTTCTGCCAAGGAAACTCGGTTAAAAGAAGCTTGCTGAAGTAAGTTTTGTCTTACATACGTATGTTTTATGTATAGTTGCGATGATTATGAGACTTACTTTGTTTGTGCAAATTTACTTGATGTACTCAATTGGTCGAGCATAATAAAGGTAAAACCATTCCTAAGGATTTCTCTTACTAAGACTGTTTGACTTTAGTTTTGCGATCAGTTCGCGGTCTTTGTCCTGTATTCTAGAAACCAAGAGAAATTGATCAGGAAATTCAGTAAGGGGATTAAAAAGGAACAAAGATTAGTGCTTTTGAAGAACGAAGTAGTAAATATAGTACAAACGCTGGTTTGATCCTTCAAAATGAAATAAGCTTTAAAAGATAACAGATTGAGTCTGCTCATACTGTAGTCTCCATACGCCATCTTCAATAGAAAAATCGGGAACGACCATTCGTTCACTTGAGGGAGCCAAAAAAAAGATTGAGTTCACTCAACTACCGTTCAGTAGGCCAGGCTTCAGAAATGAATTGTTTATAATGTGAAAGAGGTGACCGCTACATGTTGAGAGTCTTTTGAAATGAAACCAGCTCTTCTATTGCACAACGTGTATCGTGGAAGTTAATTGAAAAAAATCCAACATTAATAAGAGCAACTAAAGAAAAGCCCCTTCATGGTCTGCTGCCTCAACGTGGCGAAGAATTTCCCTTGGGTTTAGCAAGAAGGTCCGGACTCACGCGTCAACTCAGCAAAAGCAGACCACCCCGGGTATCATGTCAGGGTCCGTTGCCGTCTACCTGACAACACCAGTCGAGTCGCGAGGAGACAAAAACCGTCACTGTTACTAAGGAGCGGCGACTGCTTCGACACAGGCCCAGAACGCCCTAGCCCGGCTATTTAGGGTATGGCGCGAAATTTTAACTTTAAACCAATTTCCCCAGTACCCTGCGCACCGTGTTCGTCTCCCGCTTGGGACGTCGGATGGCAGGTGAGGGGCGAACAAATCTCAGGTGTAAAAGTGAGACGTCCATAGATTCTTTCGGCAACAAATTGGGTACAACAAGACATGGAGTTGTTTTCATCTTTGCATTCACATTGCAAGGAAGCTATCCTCAGCAGGGGTGCGATGGGGGGAGCCGGGCCCACCAAAAGAAGGTGGTTCAGCTACCACTGACCGGCCAAAAGTGAAGGTAGTAGTGCCGGACACTTACCTCTCAAAAACGTCGACCGGAGGAGGGAGCATTAACGTTTATCCTTCCAGGTCGTTGTCGTTAGTGCGCGGAGAATAAGCAAAACAAATGCAAAAGAGGTCATTGAAAGCATATTTTTATGTATACAGCGGCATAAATATCTAAAGTAGACGTGTTTATCAAATGGTGTATTTGGAAGTAAAACCCAGCGGAACTGTACGGATTTTATTAAGTAAATTTTGTTATAACGTACAGCGAAGCCGCCAAGAACCAGAATTTTGAATAATAAAATAGTGACAAATCATGCGAATTTTCCACTGTTATAAATCTGATGTATGAAGATGTCAGCAATTGCGACTTCATGGGTTTTCAAGAATAAGCGGTGCTCCATCAGATAGTGAAAGAATCGAGTCGAGTTTGAGAGGTAGTCGCCGAAAACCAGAATCCAAAAAATTACGCCATTTTAGCGCGTTTAATGACAGCTGACAGTTAAACTCATATAAATTTTGAATGTGAAAGTGTGTTGCGACTTCATAGGTTTTGTAGTGCAAGGTCTGCCTTATCAGAATATATCTTAGTCGTACCGATCCATTGAAACAGCGCCGAGATCTAGGGTCTTGAAAAAGCAGGTAAAAAAGCGTTTTTTGAATTTTAACAGCTCGTAACTTCTTGAGAACTGCATGAATCATGCTGCGACTTCATAGGTTAGTCTTCTCAACAAGAGCTTTCAGATAATGTATAATATGTGGGGGTTCAGGGGCTCCTATGACTTATGCCCTTGGGAGGAGACTTTTCATCACAAATTCTCCCCCAGCCCACTTCAATGTAGTGGGTGGAGACCGCCACAGGAGACTTTGTGATGAAAAATCTACCCTCCCAGGCATAAGTTGCAGGAGGCCCCAAATCCTTACATATTGTTATCACTTGAAAGCTCTTGATGAGAAGAATCTAAACTATAAAGCCGCAATGACTCATGCAGTTCTGAAGAAGTTATGAGCTCTTAAATTTCAAAAAGCGCTTCTTACCTGCTTTCTCAAGACCCTGGATCTCGGCGCTGTTTCAATGGATCGGTGCGGCTAAGATTCATTCTGATAAGGCAAACCTTACTCTACAAAGCCTATGAAGTCGCAACACACTTTCACATGCAAGATTTATATGAGTTTAACTGCCAGCTATCATTGAACACGCTAGAATGGCGTAAGTGTTTAAAATTCTGGTCTTCAGCGACTATCTCTTAGATCGACTCGATTTTTTCACTGTCTCATAGAGAACCATTTACTCTTCAAAACCTATGAAGTCCAATTGCTGACATCTTCAACCGCATCTATCCTACTATAATAACGCGCTAAGGGTGTTTACGTTTTTTTGTGTGTGTGTGTGTCTGAATGTCTGTCTGTCACGAAATTCGTAGAGCGTGTTCCAGCCAACGTCCTGGGCTCAAATTTTGCATAGTACTTGCAACTGGCATGAAAGTCCAACGTGCAAAAGCAAAAGCAGATTTGTTGAGTGGGTCTCTTGAAAATTGCGCGTCTAACGGATCCACTTTGCATTTGGCCCACAAAATTGGGTCCGTAATTCCACCTTTTGCAAAGTGGTGGGTGTTTATGGCAAGTAAATGTGCAAGCCATGAACTTAGGCCCAAATAAGTGGCCAAAAGTCCATTACTTTACAAAAACGGCGCCAAAAAGTATTGCTTGCATAAATGGTCAATTTGCCAAGGTTCTAGAAAAGCATTTGAGAAGATTTTCGCACAGAGATGTAGCTCACGGTGACTATTGCCTTTATGGCGACTATCAAACCATGACAATTTCAAAAACCTATTCAAATTTGCCTTTATCTTCCTGCGAAAAGTTTTTTCCATGCAAAATTACCGATCTCGGGTGAAAAAGCTTTCTAAATGA